TCCCCCCCCCCACTGAGCATGGTCTCCAGTTTCACTCAGCTCTTTATGGAGCTGATGAAGACGAGTCACAGTCGTGATGTAAACACACACACACACACACACACACACACACTGTGGTGTGACTCTTAATGACTTGAGGGGAAGAAGCTCTGAAAGGAGCTGACATTGGATCCTTTGATCCTCTGATGGTCTGTGGCCTCGCCCTCTCTCTCTCTCTCTCTCTCGCCCTCTCTCTCTCTGTGTGTGTGTCCTGGGTGACCTGACTGAAGATCAGCCCAGCGTGTCACTCATGTTTACCAGACATCTGTGAGAGGTTGAGGCTGTGCTCAGAAGGTTCTGGCTCCAGTCCCGGCCTCAGTGGATCAGTGTCTTTTTGCTGCTCGGTCGACGTCTTTGTTGTGGTCTGTCACCGCCTCATCAAAGGCCTTTGATACGACTGACTGTCGTCTCGTCGCTTTCATTCCATCTGATGACTCTCCAGCCTGTCAAAACCTGACTGAGCTCTGCACTTACCCCAGGGGGGGTGAGGAGGGGGGGGGAGGTCTCTGAGGGTGAAGTCAGAGCTGTCAGAGAGATGGAACAGAACAACATCCTCTCCTAATAGTTTAGACCTGACTGCTGACGCTGGGTGTGGTTAGCAGCAACAGTTGTCTGCTGCACACACACACACACACACACACACACACACACACACTCGCGCCTGTTTTACTACGTATGATGTCTTGTTTGTCTCCTGCAGGGATTACAGCGATCCAGGAAACACTGTCCTAGTTTTACAGCCAACACGTGGGGCGTGACCCAGTTCTGCTGAGAGCAGACGTAACACAGACGTAACGCAGTCACCAGAGAGTTACTGTACTGTAGTACTGTAGTACCACTGTACTGTAGTACTGCTTTATTATCATGACCACTGTACTGTAGTACTGGTTTATTATCATGGTTCTGGTTCTGGTTGTGGTTCTGGTTGTCTGTTCTTGGAACCTCAGACGGTCATAGATTGTTCTGAAGTAACTTATGGATCAGTTCATGGTTTCACCTGTAGAGCTGACCTATCAGAGCTGTCTTGGACCAGTAGGTGGCGATGATGAACAGGTATTCTGCAGCTGCAGTGACCAGTGTTGACCAGTCATATATATATATGTGCTGTACATCCAGGAGAGGTGTTGGTTCACTTCTCTCTCTCTCTCTCTCTCCCTCAGTGTCATCATGCATCACCACCTACAAGAAGACGCCCCCCCCAGTCCCACCGCGAACCACCCCGTCCAAACCCTTCATCTCCATCACAGCCCAGAGCAGCACGGAGTCGGCGCAGGACGCGTACATGGACGGGGGCTCCGGCCCGCGGACGGGCATCGTGTCGCAGCCCGGTCTGTCCAACTCCACGGAGAGCATCGACAGCATGAAGGCTCTGACCGCAGCCATAGAGGCGGCCAACGCCCAGGTTCACGGCCCGGCCAGTCAGCACGTCACCAACAGCACCATCACCATCACGGCCGCCGCCGCCGCCGCCGTGGCACATGTGGCCACGGACACCAGGGCTCAGAGGGAAGCTCTCCGCAAGTGCCTCTCCATCGGAATCCAGGTGGGTGGAACCTCTCGGTGGTTCTGTCGGGTTCTCCGAGGTGGACGTTCTCTCACGCTGTTCTCCTGTCTGACAGGTGGACCCAGAAGAAGAGTGCCCCCTAGAGGAGCAGTCAAAGTTCCAGTCTGTAGGGATTCAGGTGGAGGACGAACGATGGTGAGTTCATCACTGGTTTAACTAGTTACACACTAGTTAATAGATTAGTGGGGGGGGGTCTCACCCCCCCACAACCCCATGCACCGGCTTCAAGCAGCAGCAGCAGTGACAGCAGCAGCAGCAGCAGCGACAACCACAGCAGCAAACC